GAGAGAGAGAGAGAGAGAGAGAGAGAGAAGTATCTGCTATAGAGACAGGCTTGACATAATAGGGAAGGGGGAGGGCTGGAGGGAAATGGAAACATTGAAACATTGGTAGTGGGAAATGTACACTGGTGAAGGGATCGGTGTTGGAACACTGTATGACTAAACCCAAACATGAACAGCTTTGTAACTGTGTATTTCAGTGATTCAATTTAAAAAATACAAAAAGAAACCAGGATAATATAATTTAAATAATAAGTCACACAAGAGCTATTAAGATTATATGTACACATACAGCTGATCTCAAATACTAGTTTTACCTGGCAAGGGCGATCTCTGCACAAAAGCAGACAAGTTTAAATTCTGCTAAAAGCAGAGTCCCGACTGACTAATATATTGGGTAATGTGGGTAGTACTGGGAGAAGCAGCTAAAAATCAAGCCGAACACCATATGTTTTCCATTAAGCATATTGGCCAAAAATGGTTTTAAAACTTTAAACAATATTTGTCTGAGCTACCCTCCAAAGTTATTCCATTATTGAACAAATATTCAGTTCATCACTGTGTCACATAAAGGTCAAGTTCTTGACAGATGCAGAAAAATGTAACAGATCTATTTTGAACCAAATTAATGTGACATGAGCCAAATATCTCTGAATATTGAAGGGACATCATAGTCTGCCAATTAACTACTTATGAAAGTCATCAAAAAATAATGTGGAATCACTGCATGACTATAGAGTTAGCAAAGCAGTATGCATCAAGTCCAAGCCATGTGTGGCCTTTAATTCATTTTTAATTATTTGTTCTTAGGTGTACCACTATGGGAACAAAAATATTTCAAAGACTCTTTATGTATGAAATTAGGTGCAGGATAAGAAATTTAACTTCTAGAAACAGGCTCCTTTTGTTTTGTTTTGAGATCACATCCTGTCTCTGCACTCAGGAATTACTCCTGGTGTGCTCAGGGTAACATATGAGATGCTGGGGATTGAACTCAGGTCACTGTGTGGAAAGCAAACGCCCTACCCCCTGTACTATCACTCCAGACCCAAGAAACAGACTTTTAAGGAGGATGTTTAGATAGCAAAATATAAACAGCATTCAAGAAAGTCCCCTGTATTAGAGTACAGATAAGAGAGAACCTTTTTTCCTAAAGTTGATGATATATATATATATATATATATATATTCACTTATTAATCCTATAACTCTGAGATAAATAATATCAATTGTTGATATTTATGCAAGTGCCTTATATGAATTAACCTGATAACTCTATGAGATAAGTAGTATTATTGTTAGTATTTGTGGCTAAAAAGGCATAAAAACTTAACTTGCCTGAAGTCAAATGCTGCAAGTGATGATAAACTTTGGGTGAAGTTATCCTAAGTAACTGGAACTGAGAATGTACTGATTACTAATTAAACTTGTCAACGTATGTTCAGAAACACCTACAGTGGATGAAAGTATTAAAAGAAGCTGGCAAACTGACTAGACGGTTCTTATAAAGGATGGATAAAATAAAAAGGCAACACAATGAGTCAAGTTAAGGATAATGCCTCCAAAAAGTAATGAAATATTTTGTAATTTAACCTTCAAGAACCTTGTGTGGATGGGTAAAGCATATCAACAAAAAAAACTGTGAATTCCAATTCTAAGATCCCCCAAAGTTTCTTGAGAAAATAGTCACATGGAGATAAAGTGGTTGGGAGGTTTCTTCTGGGGCTTGCCCAAGATGCCCACTGAGAATGCAAGAACTCTCGGTACATCCAAGTCATCCAAACTCTAGGTCTAGCAGAAATTGGCCAGAAGCGCAATGATAAAAATTCTTAATCATTGTGTGGTTTTCCATGGTCTTATATAAACTACAATATGGAATATAGAATCAAAAGTATGTATTCTAACCTAGCTTCAATCATTTAGTACACGGACAACAATCTTGGTCACTTTTTTCTAAACTATTAAATGAAGAGAATACTCTCAGGACTGTGCAAGAATTAAGTGCAATAAAATATATTATACTCAGCAAAAGTCAAACACATTATTCAACAAATTTAAGTTACATCCCTTTGCCTGAATATCCCCATGAGTATTAAAAGAGCTATGCATCACAACAAGGGTAGGGGTCAAGGGGACCAAGGTACACTGGTGAGTTAAGGAATGACAGAGCTAAATATACAAACTATAAAGGCAATAACACCAAAACCGCAAGATCCGAACTTAAATAACCAAATTTAAAAGGTGCCTATATGGATGGCAGGCTGGGGCTGGGGGTTTGGCAGGACTGGGGGAGAGAGAATCTGGGAACACTGGTAGAGGGAAGTTGACACTGTGGTGGCAAAATTGGTAATGGAATATTATATGTCAAAAACCCAGCTGCAAATAACTGTGAATAACTTTGTGATTCATGGTGGTTCTAAAAAGAATATGATAAAGCCAGAGAGAGCACAGTAGTAAGACACTTACCTTGCATGCAACTGACCCAAGTTTGATCTCTGACATCATATATGGTCCCTCAAGTCCCACCAGTAACAGCACTCAGCACAGTGGCAGGAATAAGCCAGGTATAGCCCAAAAACCAAAATAAATTAAAAAGAATACGAAGAAAGGAGGGAAAAGTTTAAGTCATAAGGATAACATAAAAATCTATAAATAAAAATATTTCATAGTAGTAAATAAATTGAATAAACTATCAGATCAGTTGACTAAAACCTGGTACTAAGAAAGTCAACATTCTATGCTAGTAGTGCAGCACTTTTATCTCCCAAGACATGGTGTTGTTTTTATTTTTCAGAGACCCCCCAAAATTAAATAGGTATTACAAAAAAGGGTTCAGAGGTTGAACAGCTTACAAGCCAGGCAAAAACCTGTGAGTTGAAAAGAGGTTCAAATAAAGTAAAAGTTCTGTTTTTCTATCTTAAGTAAAATATGATAAAATATGTTATAAAAATAAAGTCAAAAAACTGTGGATTAAAACATTCCTAAAAACTACATAAAATAATCCATAAATATCACAAGTTGAGAAGTTTCCCTCAATAACTAACTTTTTTCTTTGCAATAAGAAGTTAGAATACAGCTGCAAGAGGATACAATATGTTATATTGTATCCATAACAAACAATACAAAACAAATTGTCCAGCATTGCCTTTTAGTCAGATGTGAGTGGTGGTGGTAGGACTGATTTCGAAATACCCGAAATACCAAAGGTAACAAAAGTAGAGAAAGAGAGTATTGTGCAAATTCTCTGTCACACACACAGGCAGGGATAGTTGTGGAATGGGGGCTGGTGGGGGGGGGGGGGGAATACTGGGGATTTTGATGGTGGAAAACTGTGCACTGGTGAAGGGATGGGTGTTTGATGATTGCATGATCAAAGCTCAAACATGAAAGCTTTGTTACTGTAAAAAATAATAAAAATATAAAAAATAAAGGAAGTTAATTTTGTTGCCAAAATAAAATGTTAGAATACCTCCATAAAGAATAAAGTTAAGCCTCTAATACTAGATTCAAATATTCAAAGAATGAACAAAGATGTAAAATAATAAATTCTTTGGGAAATCTACAAATACACTGGTAAGTCTCTCAAAATATCATTCCAGTCTAATATTTTACTTAGCAGACATTTACTTGTAGAAAATTATAAACTATAGTTTTTTTCAAAATGTCTAATGAGGGGCCACACAAATCACTCAACAGGCTGAGTACATGTCCCCCAAAACCACAGAGTCCACCAAGGACTATGAGGAACAAACCTCACACACATAGCCTGTAGCAAGCCCAGGACGAATGGGTGAGGAAAAAAAAAAATAGAAAAGGGAGAAAACAATGTTAAGTAAGTACTGAGAATATGGCTCATATTCATATTTCATATGAAACACCTCTGCGCTCAACCCTTGGTAGTGAAAAGTATGAATTAAACAAAAGAAGCTAGGTATACATTACATACTATATGAATTCATTTATATGAAATTCTTAAAAAGAAAACCTCATGAAAGAAGGGAATCCTTCATTTGCCATGGGCAGAGATGAGAAGAGAAAGAACTGACTGCAGGGGCTGGAGCAATAGTATAGCAGGTAGGGCACTTGCCTTGCACAAGGACAACCAGGGTCAATCCCAGGCACTCCATATGGTCCATCATGCACTGCCAGGAATGATCCCTGAGCACAGAACTGGGAGTGAGCCCTGAGCACTGTCAGGTGTGGTCCCCATAAAAGAAAAGAAAGAACTGACTGCAAAGGGGCAGAGAGAAGTTCTAGGAATGATTATAAACATAGACAACTTTACAAACATTTGCAAAATTTATTAAACTCTACACCACAAATTAAAAAATTTCATGTTAAAATGATCAAATTTTATTAAAATGTTATTATATAATAAATCAACATACTTTCAAAAAATCATTCAGTCAAAATTGTTTATTTAGTAAACATTTATTTGTAGAAAATGTCTTAAAATACAGTCTTTTCACCATTTTAAACAGTGATTGCTTTCTGACCCTTTCATAAGATGTATTTTTAAAATTTTCCTCTAGAAAAACAACCAAAACTAAGAAGTATTTTAAAAGTTACCTTGACTGTAACTTAAACCTTCAAAAATGGTTTCATTCAGTTGGTACAATGCTGCAGTACTTGGTAGATCTTTGAATATTTTTTCCATAATGCGATGTCCAGAGTTCACAAACTCTTGTTGCAAAGGGCCAAATATACTATTAGTAAGTGGTATGGGACAAACCAGTGACTCCATGGTGAAATAAAGAGCACATGATCCTTCCCAAACAAGATGCCACCACTGCTAAATCCTGCAGTTTGCTGCAGGAAAAATACATTGTTATTGCGTAGGCAAGCTCTACTATTTAGAGAAAAGCAGAAACCTCAACTTTCTGTGAAAGTTTCTGATTTCTTCAAATAATAGTTCAAGTTGTTTTTGATCCTCTTTTAGGGAGGGAGGGCAAATGGATAGGACACTTCATAATAGGCAGATAGATGATGACCTGGGATCCCCAGTGACATGCTCTCAACTTTTCCAGTAATGTACACTTGCCACCTTTGTCCTTATTTGTAGTGTCTAAAACAATAAATGTCCAATACTAGTACAACCAAAGTAAAATGAATCTCCAAATTATAAAAAGCTTAGTCATTTCTAACCATTTTGCTAAAATTCCAAGTCCTATTGACATGTTTAAGTGTGTTCGTTTATAACAATGGGTAACATCAATTATAATGAAGTAGGAAAAGATAAGGAAAACCTAGAGAAAATCACTAGTTCAAGACCACAGTCAGCTTCCAGATTCCAGAGCAACAAAATAATCCACATGTTGAAATTTGAGAACTTCATTGCCCCAGCTAGTCCAACCCGGCTGTAAATTTCGAGCAAACAATTCCAAACACTGCCCATTTGGCTTCATATAATCTTTCAGAACCTCTGTTCAAAACAAAACACAAATATAAAACAAAAACACAAAAATTATTTCAAAGAAATGAATCAAATTCCTTTTAGGGTTAAGAATAGAAAAGCACTGATGTTTCCTTTAAAAAGAAAAGGCAGGTTAATTTCTGATTTCCCCTCTGGCTTTCTATTAATAGTTCAAAAGTCATTTGAAATAAGCACCTTTGAGACTGAGAACAATATTGTCAGAATTTTCAGTAGTCCTGATTTATTGGATTTCATTTGTAGGTGAGAAATGAAGATTTTAACACCCACTGATGTGACTTTTTCATTTTCCAATACTGATGACCTATCTCCTGAGTATCACTTCCTGTGTTTTTTTAATAATCTATGCAGAGAAAGAAAATTCTTAGAAACAATATGAAGACAACATACTTTATAAAGTCTCAGTCTCTCGAAGCATAAAGAATTAAGACACAGAAATGTCCAGAACAAATAACAAATAACTCAAGTCCCTAGTTATAAATTTAGCGATATTAAAAACATTCCTTCACTTTCAGATTACAAATTCTTCTATACCAAAAATTTCAACATGTTATTTCTAAAGTTAAGTATTTCCTATTCAAATTTTTTACTGAAAACTATATTTTGTTGGAGAAAAGTTACCTCATATACATACGTATTTATGTGTATAGTGTATATATGTTGACTGTAATCTGCACTGACAAAAAGTACTTCTTAAAGAGTATGATCATTTGAATGATAAAATTTAAATCAATTTAACCTTGATCATGTTGCTGTTTTTTATTCATCACATCACAGGATTAGGTATGAAAATAACGATCAGGAATAAGAAGTCACAAGAACTAGTAAAATATAGTTTTGGGTCGTACCCAGCGATGCACAGGGATTACTCCTGGCTCATGCACTCAGGAATTACTCCTGGTGGTGCTTGGGGAACCATATGGGATGCTGGGAATCGAACCCGGGTCAGCCGCGTGCAAGGTAAATGCCCTACCCGCTGTGCTATTGCTCCAGCCCTAAAATACAGTTGTTAATTGTTTCACAATATTAAGCTTGAGGCACAAGGGGAATCTTTAAAATTCCCCGAAAGAGGGCATGGAGTGATAGTACAGTGGATAGGGTATTTGCCTTGCATGAAGACAACCCGGATGCAATATCCAACATACCATATAGCCCCTGGGCCTGAAAGGAGTGATACCAAATAAAGTAAAATAAAATAAAAATAAAATTCCCTGAAAAAATGACAAAAGCACCTTAGGAATACTTAAAAGGGACAAGGTTTAGGGCCATAGATATGGCTTAATAGGCTGAGCACATGCTTTTACATGCAGAGTATCCAACTTCAATCCCTGGCACAACATAGTACCCCAAGCACTGCTAGGAGAAACCCTCTGCACAGATCTAGGGATTAGCCCCAGAGCAACCCAAGCTGAGACTCAAAACAAAACAACCAAAATATACAGGCAAGGTTTACAAGATAATACATATCAGAGCTAGAAGTTAACTCAAAGGGCTTGAATGTTGAAGACTCCAAATTTAATGACCAAAACTACATGTGCCACCTCCCTCACAAGCACCACTGGGTAAAGCCCTGCTGGTCCTTAAGAACCACCAAATGTAGCCCTGGTGGCCCTTGCACACGCTGGATGTAGCCCTAATGTCACTGAGGAACTGGGTAAGCATTGCTAGGAAAGCACCCCGCCTCCAAAAAATAGATTAATGGTCCAAAGGCTCAAGACAAAGGTATATAAGAACTTCTCCACAGATCTTTTTTTTTTAATTAGTGAAACGGGCTGGAGTCATAGCACAGCAGGTAGGGCTGCATTGCCTTGCGCATAGTCAACATGACTGACCCAAGTTCAATTCCTCTGCCCCTCTCGGAGAGCCCGGCAAGCTACCGAGAGTATCTCACCTGCACGGCAAAGCCTGGCAAGCTCCCCTGTAATGTATTTGACATGCTAAACACAGTAACAAGTCTCACAATGTTACTGGGCCCACTCGAGCAAATCGATGAACAACGGGAGGACAGTGATACTTGATTAGTGAAACACCATGAGGTAGAGTTGTAGACTTACAAGTTTTTGTGCTTGGGTTTCAGTTAAACAATTACCAAGTACCCATCCCACCACCAGTACCCATTCTCCACCCCCACCAATCCCAGTATCCCCACCCCCCACCCCCCATCCCACCCTTCCTCTGTGGCAGGGCACTCCCTTTTGTTCTCTCTCTTCTTTTGGGTACTCCACAGAACTAAACTTACCATTATCCAGGGGGCTCGATGGTTCTCGAGGGGTAAGGGAAGGGAGAATACTGGGAAAATGGTAAAGGGAAGCAGACACTCTGATGGAGGGTATGGTACTGGAATATTATATGCAGGAAACTCAATCATGAACAGTATCGGAAATCATGCCTAAGGTAACATTTTTAATAATGTTTTAAAAGATAATAAATTTTTATAAAAACATCTCTCATATATGGTATATGAAGAAACCTAGTAAGGGAACAAGAAATGAAAATGTCCAAAGTCATTACAACAGAGCTTACATGGGAGTTGGGAGTGACTGGGAAGGATCCTTGGGACACGGGAAGGGGTTGGAATGATGTCTCCATGAAAACCATAATCACCAGTACTGTAAACCCCAGTAGCACAATAAAAATGGTTAGAAAAACTCGGGACATTGGTGGTAGAAAATGTACACTGGTGGAGGGATGGGTGTTCGATCATTGTATGATTGAAACTCAAACATGAAAGTTTTCTAACTGTAGCTCACAGTGATTCAAAAAAAAAAAAAAGAAATTTAAAAAAAGCAAAAAGATAACAAATCAAAATGTTTAGGTTTCATAATAGTATTTATAATATTCCGCATTGCTCTAACAACAAAATAATTTTCTTCTGAAAGCAATAGCCCTATTTATCACAATAAAAAAAAATATATATATATTGTTTAACCCAACTAGAACTCAAATTTAGACCTTGCTAGTTTCTAGAAGATCCTGACATGATTAGTCTGTCATATAATTAGATGCCACTAAACTTGAAAGAGAAAGATTTCCGTTGGGCCTTACATGCCAACAGCCCAACATCACTTTTCTACTTTGCCCCCATAAATTCAATGCCTTACCCAATTCACTTCTAATGCAGGCTAAGACTGTACTGAAGCAAGGATGTAATGGGCTTTTTTGGCTTGTTTGCTCAGTTTTCTGAACAAAGATCTTAGAAAAAACTCTATTTTGGAACCTGAAGCTGGAGTCAGCACCAAACTGTTTACTATCCTGAGCATCCACTATAATTAGTGCTATGGGACTTAAGACAGAAACTATCATGCTTTCTAATAGTTCACAATCTAACAGGAACTTGGAATGGAATAATATCTATAATCTAAATTCATTCTCTACCCCCTACTGTCTCACTGCAATACACAGGTTAAAATTTCCATAATTTTTAAAATATGTACTTCTATATAGTGATAGGTAGGGCGTTCGCCTTACAAGCGGCCAAGATGGCCGACCCGAGTTCGATTCCTCCGCCCCTCTCGGAGAGCCCGGCAAGCTACCGAGAGTATTGGATATGCCAGACACAGTAACAACAAAGTCTCCAATGGAGACATTACTGGGCCCGCTCGAGCAAATCGACGATCAACGGGAGGGCCTTTACCTTTACCTTACTATGATGATCACAATATATTCTTAGTCAACCATTAGTTTGTTATACTTAAAATAGAATTTTATATGTAAGTCTCAACTTAAAATGGAAATTTATAAATGGAAAATTATAAATTTAAGTAAGGATTATATATATAGCACTGTAGCACTGTTCTCTGGTTATTCATCAATTTGTTCGAGCGGGCCCAATAACGTCTCCATTGTGATACTCGCTACTGTGTTTGGCATATCGAATACGTCACGGGTAGCTTGCCAGGCTTTGCCATGCGGGCGAGATACTCGGTAGCTTGCCAGGCTCTCTGAGAGGGGCGGAGGTATTGAACCTGGCTCAGCCGGGCCAGCCGTTTGCAAGGCAAACACCTACCACTGTGCCATTGCTCCAGCCCACTTATATAATTAGATAACGTGGCTTTAGCAAAACATTGTTTTAATCAACAGAAAAGAAGCAATCCATTCAACAGCCCACCATTCCCCCTTTCCTCTGGGAGCAAAGAGTGAAGTCTAGAGAATAAACAGCTTAAACATTAGTGATTGATTTGATTTTCATTAAATTATGTTTTACTCTTCAAGTATTAGTATGTAAAGTAGCAAAAAGGTACAGAAATTCCTCAAAGAGAAGTTATAAAAATTAAAAGTTTCCCCTGATCACCACTTAGGTGGTCCTGATGCCCAAGAAAGCAATACAGGCCCACGCTAGAGGGGAAGCATCTCCGAGAGTAGCACCTAGTATACATATGTTCATATATATGCAAATGCCTATGTTTCTATATATAATTAAAAATAAATAAAAATTTTATTCAACTACTTTGTGCACGATTTTCCTATTTATAATCTTAAAACAATATAAATTCTGAGGTTTTGTAAGCCTTGCTACTGATGGCATCTTTTAATCTATAGAAAGTTAAAATTTAAAAATAGAGTAAATGTATCATTTTGAAAGGGAATTTGTTGTCTATTTGGTAAAACTAGATAACATTCAACTTTTTGTTTGGGTCTTTCCAGAAATCAGAGGATGTTTAATTTTATAAATTTGCATTAAAAAGTTTAAGAACATTTACATATAAAATCTCTGGGTATTCTTAACAGAACATGTACCATTCCTTGTTATGATTTCAGCATCAAATATACCACAGAAATCTGAAAGCTGCTTTCTGGTGATTTTATGTTTATAGTCCTTGACTTAAAATTCTGATGACGCTATATAAGAGCTTAAAAATAATTACACATATTTCTTCATGCTCAAAAAGGTTCTTTAACCAGAATATAGTCAAGACAAACGAATTGCATATATGGAGTCATGCTGACATTTTTCTCCAAATTAAACTTTTATTGTCAAATGTTCTCAATTCTAAAAATAAGTATGTGCTGCTCTCTACTGGAAATATGGCAGAACTACATTTCACAGATAATAGGTTACTCTTAAGATTCTTTTTTTAATCTTTAAATTTTAATTCTACTAGCTAGAATTATAACTAGCTAATTATTTTTAAATGTTAAGTCTTTAGGTTGGAGTGATAGGACAGCAGGTAAGGTGTTTGTCTTTGAGCTATGCTTGAATTTTTAATGTGGGGTGGGGGGCAGTGCTGAGGGCTGGGAGGGAGACAACCATGAAGTTCAGAAACTCCCACACACAAAATACCCAAGGACAGTAAGAGATAAGGGCCAGGAGGATTACTCCACAGCTTGGAAGCCAGCCTCACATGGGGGGGAGGGGTAAGGGAGGGAGAGAGGCAGCTCAGATACAGAACAGACTACCAAGTAAAGGGTACTTGGAGGGTCCACTCAAGATGGGAGATGTGTGCTGAAAGCAGACTACAAACTGAACATGGTGGCCACTCAATACCTGTATTGCAAACCACAACTCCCAAAAGAAGAGACAAAGTAAAAGGGAATGTGCCTGCCACAGAGGCGGGGGGGGGGGGGGGGGGTGTTAATGGAGGGTTGGTGGGAAGGATACTGAGATCATTGATGGAGGAGAATGGGCACTGGTGACTGGTGGAGGGATAGGTACTCAATCATTCCATGACTGAAAGGTAAGCATGAAAGTTTGTAAGTATGTAACTGTAACTCACGAGGATACATAAAAAAATTTTTTTTTTTTTAAAAAAGAAAGTCTACACAAGCTGTTAAAAAAAAAGGCGGAGCAGGGGGCTGGAGCAATAGCACAGTGGGTAGGGTGTTTGCCTTGCACGCGGCTGACCCGGGTTCGATTTCCAACATCCCATATGGTCCCCCAAGCACTGCCAAGAGTAATTCCTGAGTGCATGAGCCAGGAATAACCCCTGTGCATTGCCTGGTGTAACCCCAAAAGCAAAAAAAAAAAAAAACCTCCCACACACAAAGTGTTTGCTCTAGTCTTTTAAGTCATCTTTCTGGCCCCTCACTTGGACTTCTAAGTGAAAAAAAAAAAGTACTAAGACACAGCAACAAAGAAGAAAACCGACTGGAGGCCCCACAGCTCCCGGAGAATGCTCCGGGCCCCAAACAGAACCGATATCACCAGGAGGTCCCAGATGGGGTAGGAGCTGCTGTCCCGCCTTCTCCAGATGGAATCCCGGTGACCATGAGCTTCTACAAGCATGGCTCTGGCATGCGGGTACCAGGACATTTTTCCCAGTCCACTTACACAGTTGCATGACATTTCCTTATAGGCAAAATGATCAATGGAAAGTAAATCATCCAACAATTCTCCCTGAAAATCAGGCTTGACTCTTTTGCAAACCACAACACCCAAAAGGAGAGAGAGAACAAAGGGGAATGCCCTGCCATAAAGGCAGGGTTGGATGGGGGGGGCGGGGGGTGGGAGGGATACTGGGATCCATGGTGGTGGGAAATGGGCACTGGTGGAGGGATGGGTATTTGATCATTGTATAATTGAAACCCAAGAACAAAATTTCTAAGTCTACAACTGTACCTCATGGTGTCTCACTAATAATTTTTTTAAAGTACTAAGACAAACTAAACTTTGATGCACCCTGAATAGTAAAGAAAATTCAAGCTAGAAGATTAAGTTAGATTTCCTCCATCAAGTATAACTAGTGTCAGACATTTTCTTCTTAAAGAATAGTACAATCTCATTTTTCATCTAAGTAATACATTTAAGACTCTAAGGGGCTGGAACAATAGTACAGGAGGTAGAGCATTTGCCTTACATGCAGCTGACCCTGGTTCGATTCTCAGCATCCCTTATGGTCCCCCAAGCACCACCAGGAGTAATTCCTGAGTGTCAAGAGTAACCCCTGTGTATTGCCCGGTGTAACACTCAAAGTTTATTCACTGAAGACCCCTGAGTCAAAAAAAAAAAAAAGATCAAGATGTAGACATTTTACCTTTTCTAGAACTATATCAAAATTCTTCTAGAGAATCAATTTTTTCCCTGATAAATTTTTTCTCTCTCCTCTCCTCTTTTCTCTCTCTCCCCTCACCTCCCCTCCTTAAGACAAGTGAAATCCTTCTAGATTTTATCAATAAAAATTCCTAGACATTTTTATTCACTTTCTAACTCATAAACAACGCCACATTCTACAAAATGGTATGACAGGCCGCCTATAATTGGCCAGGTAGCTTGAAAGTTTGGAGTCTTTTAACTGGAGGGGTGGGTCACAAAATCAATAAAGTATGCATTTCTGAAGACTTTAAATAGCTAACTGGAATATCAAATTTAATATCTCTCAAGGATTTGCATTCTCATTTTTAAACTTCACTTTAAACACTCTATCATTTTTCTACTCTGTGCTACCAAATCTCAAATATTTAAAAACAATCCACAAAACTTTACCAAATTAATATCATTTTATTTATATAAGCACACTGAGGTGAAGAATGATCAAAGTGACACAGGGAATCAATGGCATCAGGATTCATCCTCTTGTTAGACTTTCTCTAAACCCCAAATTCTTCACTATTCCTTGCTGCCTGGGTAACTGAGTGGGGAACATTACAATGAAGTAGGAAAACTTCCGACTGCTACAATTACCTTCCCAGTGGTTCAGTAAAGCAACTCTTCTCTTAACAAACTGAGTCTCTCTACCAAATCTCCAAAGAATTCAAACTGTTGGGGCTGGAGTAAAAGCACAAAGGGTAGGGTGTTTGCCTTGCACACGGCTATCCCAGGTTCGATTCCCAGCATCCCATATGGCCCCCTGAGGACCACCAGAGGTAATTCCTGAGTGCAGAGCCAGGAGTAAACCCTGTGCATCGCCGGGTGTGACCCAAAAAGCAAAAAAAAAGAAAAACAAAGAAAAAAGGAAGGAAGGAAGGAAGGAAGGAAGGAAGGAAGGAAGGAAGGAAGGAAGGAAGGAAAGAAGGAAGGGAAAGAAAGGAAAGAAAGAAAGGAAGAAAGGAAGGAAGGAAGGAAGGAAGGAAGGAAGGAAGGAAGGAAAGAAAGAAAGAAAGAAAGAAAGAAAGAAAGAAAGAAAGAAAGAAAGAAAGAAAGAATGAATCCAAACTCTTAATTGCTCTCCTGAACTCCTGGTTGTAGAACAGGCAAGAGATGGAGTAGTAAAATAAAAACCCAAGCTAAACTGTAGTCTTCATTCAATCAAGACCAGTGACAGGGAGGGAACACTGAAGATAAACGGCACAAGAGAAAGGTAGAAGCAGTTAAAACCTGAACTTGTCTCTATTTAGTAATTTCTGCTGTAGAATTTTAAATTAATTTTAATTTTAATTAAAATAGCACAACTCAGATTAAATTTACAGATATCTGGGGCATTGAAACACAAAAATTCCATCCTTTTACCAAATTCACATAAATATCAATTCTATTTTATAAAAAACATACCAGCAAGAGGTGGCTTATGTGAATGAAGAGTACAGGGCACACTGACAATTAACTTGTGGTCTGGAACAGGAAGCACTTTTTCATCTGCATTCCTAATTAAAACATAACAATAAAGCAAACAGAATGGTAAAGGCGAACTATGCATGAACACATGAACACACACACACACCACAGCTACCTTGATATTTTTTATCTTTCAACATATATTTGAATTTATAGAAATTTAATAACAGAAAATTAAAGGAAATAAATCAAGTATTAAGACATTTTCTATCACACTAATTATTAGACATTAGACAAAACAAAAGACAAAACAATATTTCATGTACTATATCATTCCTATTTTTCTACTCTCAACCACTTTCAGATTTTCAAAACAAGGTAAAAATTAAGAAAGACCAATGATCATACTGTTGATAATTTTTAAATCCTAAAACTTAATAAAACTACATAATTCTGGGGGAAAAAATTATGTTTCTTACCTTTCTGGTGAAGCAGATTTGTCTTGAACTCTCCCAATTATAAGCCCTTCATAAGGCTTTTTGTGCAGAGAATCTAACGGGAACACAAATTCTCCTGAATTGGTAATCTGATAGAAAGACATAAAAAAGGAAAAAAAAACTTATCTCTAAATATTCGAGAAAAGGTTTGTTTCCCCATCAATATATATAGTTTCTACCAAAGAAGAACAAGTTATTAACTCCCTAGGTTAGAACGGTTCAATAAAAAAATGCAGACAGACAGGGGGCTGGAGTGATAGCACAGAGGGTGTTTGCCTTGCACGCAGCCCAACACGGGTTCAATTCCCAGCATCCCATATGGTCCCCTGAGCATGGCCAGGAGTAATTCCTGAGTGCATGAACCAGGAGTAACCCCTGTGCATCACTGGCTGTGACCCAAAAAGCAAAAAAAAAAAAAAAAAAATGCAGACATCCAGGGCCACAGCTCAGCTCACAGCAGAGCAGCAATTCCACTCCTGGGAATATGCCCCAACGGCCCAAAAGCACAATGCAGAAAAGACATTATTTGCACTCCTATATTCACTGAGGTTTTATTTAAAATAGCCAAAATATGGAAACAACCCAAGAACAGATGACTGGACAAAGAAACTACAGTACATACACACCTGGAAATATTACTTAACCATAAAAAAAATGATGAAATCATACAATTTGCTGCCATGTGGAGAGTATCATGTTGAGTGAAGTTCAACATGAGAGGGACAGGCACAGTATGATCTTTCTCAGATACAGAATAAAGAAACTTCAGAGGGAAATATCACATACCCAAAGGCAATAGATGAATAACAAAACGCCCATGATTTCTTTTATCTGTGTAATACTTTTTATGTCAGTTCTTGTGGGAATTACCAGAACTCAAAGTATTAAAAAAAAAAAAAAGAATGGATTACCATGGAGTAATACAAGGGTGGAGACGCTGGTGGAATGGGTGCTGTTTTAACATTGTATGCATAAAACCCTATCGTTAATCATACTATAAATCATGAGTCTTGAAGTTAAGATAAGTAAATTTTTTAATTAATTTTTAAAAAAGGCAATAGATGAACTTTAGTATCAAGCTTGCCATAGGGGGTGGGGACGGGATGATAAGAGACTATTAAGACAATGGTGGAGGGTAAAAGGCCTGCCATAGATAGCTTAGAGGCAGGCTGGAGAGCAGGAGGGAAACTGGAGACACACTGGTGAGGGGACTGGTATTAAAACACTGCATAGCTGAAACTCAAGAATATCTTTGGGTGTGGCTTCCCAAAATAAAATTACTTGAAACTGACAATAAGTGCCTTTTTCTCACCTCTCTAGAGAGAAAGTATCTCTCCTACAGAGTGCTATATAAACATAAGCTAATTCTCGTTCTCTTTTTCCCCAATTTGGTTGCTATGTAATTCACATGTAACAGTCCAAGATGTATAAAATAATTATTGGATATGTATTTTGACTGATTATCATAATACATTACATTAACATTTACCACTTCATATAGTTACATTTTTTGCTATAAATGTAAAGATATATTCTTAGCAACTTCCAAACATTCAAAATAGTACTATTACCTATGACTATTATGCTAAATATTATGTTCCCAAGACTTATATCTAGAAGTTTATATCTTTTGACCAAAAACGTTGTCAAAAAGCTAATTTTTATTCTTTGGAGATACTTTATACTCAGCACATTATGCCTTCTGTTCTAACAATTGCCAAAAGGGATAATTATATAAGAATTCTCATGATATTATATTATAGTGACATACTGTCTTATACTATCTCTTAGAAATAATTACTACAGATTAATGGTCTTGGCTTTTATGTATTAACACCTTATTTTCTTTATAGAGGGGGATCTCTTCCTCACTTTGTCCCTGGTCTCTGGTTATAAAATAAACATGCCTCATAATGGACAGGCGAAATGGGATATATTTCTGTCATGGTCGTTTATAAAAGTAAACAAAGCTAAGACCTGCTTGTACAAGGCCAATCCCAATTGGATCCACAAAGTTAAAGGCTTGCCGGAGCACTAAGCCAGAAATAGACCCCCATGCCTAACACCAAGTGCAGTCCAACCCTGCTAAAAAAAGTTATCCTTAGATTGAAGAGACAGCTGGACAGCACAAGATCTGCATGTGGGAGGCACAGGTTTTATCATAAGTACCACATGGTCTACAGAGCACTATAGGATTTAACCCAAAAAACAAAAAATAAATAATTTTTTAAATAAATAAAATGGGACCAGAGTAAAAGTACAGTGGGTGGGGCACTTGCCTTTCACTTGGCTGCCCCAGTTTTTACCCAGCTTCCCATATGGTCCCCCAAGCACCACCAGAGGTAAATTCTGAGTATAGGACCAGCAGTAACCCCTGAGCACCACCAAGTGTGGCCTAAAAACAAACAAAAGTAATGAATTAATTAAATGGCATCCTTTATCTCCTCGATTAATTTTCTAAGATTAACAGTTTCAAAGTTTTGAACTCTACTACAAAAAGAAAGACACAGAACATAGAGGTTTAAAAAAAATGCGGATGAGAATTGGATCTTCTCAGAGTAGGAGTGAGCACCCTCCCCCAGTCCTTAGTATTTCTGGAGCCCCGGAAGCCAAGTCCACATCCCACAGTTGCTGCCAAGTCAACTAAGCCACTGTCAGTACTTTACAGATTCATGACTAATTCTCGAAAGAGAGGCAAACCAAGCAGCAAAAATGTATGGGTATTGTGTCCATACTGAAAAATCTGGGGTCCCCAGGAAGGAGAACAGTTCAAGTCCCAGCCCTGCCAAAGCCCTGGAAGCTACACCCATGTGCCACAGCCCAACTTCACGGCTTCGTGACTAATCTCCACAGAGACATCAAAAGGCAAAACTTTCAAGTATTACAGTTTTCAGGCTTAGAACTCTGGGGTCTTCTCAGATTGGGGACGGGAGGCCTCCCCCATCCCCGTATTTGCGGAAGTCACACCCACATCCCACAACTACCACCACGCAAACTTATCAGCCCAGTTCTACAGATCTTAAAGTTTCTGGACCACGGCGACACTTCCAAATTCCACAATACTGATATCCCAGTAGAAAGTAACATAGAAGCCAGCTAAGTTCAACAAACTAAAACAGTATCACAGAAGGCTTAATTAACAACAAAGAGCTTAGTAAATCCTCAGATAAGAATTTAACTACCCCATAGTGAGATATAACAATTTTCACAAATTTTCATTTACTAAGTATTTTTGGGTTTTTTTTTGGGGGGGGGAATCACACCTGGCGATGCTCAGGGATTACTCCTGGCTTTGCACTCAGGAATTACTCCTGGAGGTGCTCACGGGACCATATGGGATGCTGGGAATCAAACCTGGGTTGGCTACGTGCAAGACAAACGCCCTACACGCTGTGCTATCACTCCAGCCCCAACTGAAGCATTTTTAATCATTCCACTAGCCATTTAGTTGTAACAAGCAATATAAAATTAATTATTTTTGTGCCTGCTTAAAAGAATAAAAGTATTTAGCAGCAAAGTAAAAGACTATGTTGAAGGATATACTGAAGTGATTACCATATCAAAAACTGCTATTAGCTTTCCTGCATGCTATTTTCAACAAATAACTTTAATTTCTGGACTTACTTTTACCCAGTGCCATTCTGCAACTACGGCCACAGACCAACAAGGATAAAGTTCTTCCTTTACAAAGCGGAGGATCTTCTGTCTATTGGTGACCCAAGTGATAACCAGACAATTTGGAGCAGCCAGCTTAGAGATGGGGAGTTGTTTAATTTGCAGATAAGATAAATAACTGTATCTAAATATAAACAGAAAAAAATTAGAAAGATTCACAATAAAAAAAGGAAAAAAGTGATAAGGATTCATTGGTAGTAGGAGAGTGAATGCATTGCATGTGTGAGATCCTGGGTTCAATCCACAGAACCAAAAAAAATGAAGTAAGGACACCTTAAACAATGGTCCAAACCAAAAAAGGCTCATAGAACTATTTATTTCTACAACTAACTATGGAGCCACAGTGACATCTGGTGGACATATTAGACACAAGTCAGAAATAACTAAAATTTTTGGATATTTAAAATTGTCAAGGTAAAGGCCCTCCCATTGATCGTCGATTTGCTCGAGCGGACCCAGTAACGTCTCCATTGGAGACGTTTTATATATATATATATATATATATATATATATAGTGGGGCTCTGAGGACCATATACTACATATATACTATATATATATAATTATATATAATTATATATAATATATAATTATACAATATATATAATATATTTATATATAATATATAATTATATATATATAATTATACCTGTGTGTATATATATATATAGTGGGGCTCTGAGGACCATATACTACATATATACTATATATATATATATATATATATATAATTATACCTGTATAATCCTTGAGCACAAAGCTGGTAGTAAGCCCTTAAAACAGTTGAGTGAGGCCCAAAACAACAAGTCTCAATATCCCACTATATTTTAACCTCTCAAGCTGCTTCTTTCTTCTTTCCCAATCAACTCCACAGACTCCCTCCTTTCATTACACACACACACACACACACACACACACACACACACACACAATTCTACAGTTTTACATCTTCTGGTGATTGATCACAGGAAGTTGTTTCTCTTGTTAGAATACTACAACAATCAAATGAATGAGGTCCTTTCTACAAACCCAACTCAGACACAATCGGGAGAGAAGAAGTCAGTATTCATCTAGCTACCCTGTTGCTGCTTTCAAGCGATACCCCAACCACCTGTACACAGAACTCCCTTCTCCACAAAAACTAAGGCATCCCACTAAGCTAGCATCAAAAGTTTCTTTCAAACCCATGCTATCCTGCCATTCCATACTCAATGAGGATTTAAGCTCTAAGATCTTTCTACCACTATCCTTAAATAGTTCATATAAATGTAATCATACAACATGCGACCTTCGAATCTGTCTTAATTAATTTGGCATATATTTTTAAGGTTATCATTCTAGTTCTTCCTGGGAAAATCCTATGACCACTAGAGGTCGCTGGGACTGTAGAGAGCACCCAGATCCCAACTTCTCTGGGAATCCAGCTGTTGCCAGGGAAACCTGACATTCTTCTAGAATAACATAGATTAACTGGCCTTGATCTACCAGCGGCTGGTGCCTTAAGATGTGGGAAACAGACATCTCTGAGTGTCAACAATACATCAACTTTCTCTGGCTTAGAGCTTCAAGGACAGTGCTTCAGCAGCTTCCTCCTCGTCATAATAATAATATACCTCCTTTCACCACCTGCTTGTTAATGTCTGTAGGAACATTACCTCAGTTTCTATTTAACCACTACAATTCCTAATAAACTCTGTCATGTGACTAGGAGCTATGGCACAGGGGGTGACTTTGTCTCAGTTATATGGTCTCTGAGCACCTGCTGCCCTAGACCAACAGACTGTCTTCTCATTCCTGGGGCCTCCATAGTTATGAGATTAACTACAGTTTTCTGTGTTATTGCATGTATAAAAATTTCTTTTTTGGGGGGTGGATAAATAACTTTCCACTATGTAGATATATATGCATGCATATATATGGATATATGGACATATATTTATGCATATGTATGTATACATGGACATATGTGTATATATGCATATATATAGCCTTTTAACTTCATACATTATATATTGATATAGATATCCCTTAACTTCTGCATGCCTACACACTCCCAAATCTTCTTGCTACTCAGTCTCTTCATTTACTTATTTTTCACAGTTGAAGAAGAAAGTAGTCAATAATGCTAAGACATTCAAATAATCCACAAATACAGTTCAAAAAATTCCTATTATTACTCTTATCTAAAGTAGAAAGTATAGAAGAGGGGCCTGAGAAATAGCAGAGGTCAGGTACTTGCCTTGCACACAGCATAAACACTAGCATCACCGGGTGTGGCCCCAGAACAAAAAAAAAAAGAAGAAAATGGGGGGAAACAAAAGGAGTAGCTGACAAAACAAGTTACCTCATAACTGAAGTCTTACATAACAAACGTGCTATCTTAAAGCTCCATAAGATATCTGACAGGGATCTCACTAGCTAAAATCAGGGGCATGGGCATTCGTTATGAAGGCTATATAAAAAAATCTATCTTGTCTTTTCTAGCTTCTAGAGAACTATTTCTAAAGTGACTGATACCACCCCCAGGGGCATGCTGGAATAATCCAGGGATGCCGGCAGTATAAACTGCAGTATAAACCTCAGGCGCTACTGGGGAGCATCTTCTAATTGGTAACTTAAAGAGGGTAGATTTCCAGAGAGCACTGAGTGGTTTCTTTTCTTGAAAAGAGGGTAATAGGTAAGTTTGGGACCCTCTATTCTAAATGGCCATAACTTTCTTTAGCTCATGCTCCACTTTGCCTCAATCTCCAAAGCCAGAAAAAACATGCTGAGTCTTTGCCACACTGATTTTCTCTACTCCCTCTTCAACTTTCAGAGTAATCACCCTTGTGATTACTAAATCTTCTTTCCTTAGCAAACTTAATTCCAGCTTTAATTTTCATTTCCCTTTGCCAAGAAACCTAACATTCAGAAAGTCCAGGATTGGGGTATGTGAGGTATGGGACATCTTTAGGGAACCAAAATCTTGTCTTCCATGGATGCACAAGTTAACAACAAAATATTTACATCACCTTATACAATACCTCTTAATCATGGAGAAATAGTAACTTTACAGTAAATCAACCAAAACTGTCATCAAAACTAACACAAATAACAATAGAAAAAAATTATATATGTATATATATGGTTTCTGAGAAAAAAAGAGAAATCATAGAAGATACTAGTGCTTTGTGATATTATGATATCAAAAAAACATGGTCTGAATCTAATCAAGAGGTGTAGGATAACACTGTTTTGTCCTTCCTCAGGCAGCTTAGGTTTATCTGGTCACACCCAACCCAGTGCTCCCATTCTTTTATCTGCAACTACTTCTCTATGCTCTCTTCCCCAAACAGTTAATCAGCTTATTCCCCTAATCAGTTTCTGTTAATTTGTAAGGTAAGATCTTTCTAGGACACTGAACTTATATTGTAAGTTAATATTGCCTTTCTCCTCTCCTTATGTCTTTTGAATCACAATCACAATCACAAATCATCCTGTTATTCGTTGATTGCCTCGAGCAGGCCCCAGTAACGTCTCCTTCATCCTAGCCCTGAGATTATATTCAAGGCTCTTTGGGAGAATGAGACCCATCATTGTTACTGGTATTTGGCATATTGGGTACGCCACGGGGAGTTTGCCAGACTCTACCGTGTGGGCAGGCTACATTCGGTAGCCTGGCAGTTTGTCAAAGTAGGAATGAGATGTCATAATAAGATGTCGCGCGGCCGCAAATGCGGCCACGCAGTTCCGGGACCTGGTTTTTATAGTCTCTGAGTCTTGGCCGCTGATGGGATTACATGGCGCCAGGGGGCCAGTTGGTGGGTGTGACCCCCGCCTACTGGAATGTGGAGGATCTGGGTGGAGGATGCTCGACTTCAATCCAAGTAGGCTTGGAGATCTTGGCCCCGGAACCCACGTGGCTTTGTCCCTCTGCCTATACCTTCAGGTGTGCGGAGAGTGGTCTCAGCATGGTGGTGGCTGGTCCTGGAGGTCTTCGGCTGCCGGGGCCCTGGTCAGGCCGGGGAGGAAAGCTCAACCCGCTCCCCTCCAAGGGGCCCCGGCGAGGAATAGCCAGGCGCGGGGGCAGGAGACTGCACTGTTGTCTTCCAGGAGCTGGTTTTTATAGTCTCTGAGTCTTGGCCGCTGATAGGATTACACGGTGCCAGGGGGCCAGTTGGTGGATGTGACCCACGCCTACTGGGATGTGGAGGATCTGGGTGGAGGATGCTCAACTCCAATCCGAGTAGGCTTGGAGATCTTGGCCCCGGAACCCCCGTGGCTTTATCCCTCTGCCTGTGCCTTCAGGTGTGCGGAGAGTGGTCTCAGCATGGTGGTGGCTGGTCCTGGAGGTCTTTGGCTGCCGGGGCCCTGGTCAAGCCGGGGAGGAAAGCTCAACCCGCTCCCCTCCAAGGGGCCCCGGCGAGGAATAGCCAGGCGCGGGGGCAGGAGACTGCACTGTTGTCTTCCGGGAGCTGGTTTTTATAGTCTCTGAGTCTTGGCCGCTGATGGGATTACACGGTGCCAGGGGGCCAGTTGGTGGGTGTGACCCCCGCCTACTGGAATGTGGAGGATCTGGGTGGAGGATGCTCAACTCCAATCCGAGTAGGCTTGGAGATCTTGGCCCCGGAACCCCCGTGGCTTTATCCCGCTGCCTGTGCCTTCAGGTGTGCGGAGAGTGGTCTCAGCATGGTGGTGGCTGGTCCTGGAGGTCTTCGGCTGCCGGGGCCCTGGTCAGGCCGGGGAGGAAAGCTCAACCCGCTCCCCTCCAAGGGGCCCCGGCGAGGAATAGCCAGGCACGGGGGCAGGAGACTGCACTGTTGTCTTCCGGGAGCTGGTTTTTATAGTCTCTGAGTCTTGGCCGCTGATGGGATTACACAGCGCCAGGGGGCCAGTTGGTGGGTGTGACTTTTGAATAGTTTACTTTAAAGCAAGTTGGTGGGTATGTCTTTTGAATAGTTTACTTTAAAGCAATGTCCTTTTGTATTGACACAAGACAATTAATATTATGCTTTTATAACTAGGGATTTAACTGGCTTGAATATTTTTCATTCCCAGGCATCTGCTTTCTCATACCTCAGTTGCCCTCACTTTCTAGCACCCCCAAAGCAGGGTCCCGATGAGGGACTGGATGGAACCAGGGCAAG